GGGGGGGGGCGGTTGTTTGGTTGGTTTTGGTGTTTCTGTGGGGTTTTTGTGTCCATTTTCATACTCAAAACGTATGTACTGGGCTTTGAAAACACCCTTATCACGTCTGCAAATACAGTCAACTGAACCATTCGCTTTGCAACTGAGCTGTTAGCTTCATTATTTCCATTCATCATTTCCCTTTATTTCTGTGTCCAGATGCATGTTCCTGTTTCTATCCACAGCTCATGCCATCTATTATACTTAGAAGTGATTAGTAAGAACTCCATTGTTTATGAGCATCATGAATATTTACAGAAAGCTAACAAACACTGCAGAAAGGAGCTTGTGAACATGAGCAAGACACTTCTGAATGTCAGTCATATCATTAATAACAAACTAACAAAAGCAACAATTATTTAACTGAGATTTTTCTAAGGGTGCTGGTTTTAGTCTAAGCCTCTCAAGTGACTTAAAGCTACCATTCAAGCAAGATGAGCTTTGCCACTGCCCTTTATTTTACAAAGCATCACTGTGAGGAAGCTTAATTTATGAACAGGAAACAAAACAGCAAATAAAACAAAGGTGATATGTGAGTACAACTGCTACCTTAGAATTAAAACCTTTCATAAGGAAATGAAATAAGAATAAACAAACTAGATATCTGATTGTAGTGATATTCCACACCCATAACAGTTCCGGTGATTTCAGACTCACCTGAGTCAGCGAGCAAGCACAACTCCCGATGTAATGTTTTGTCCTCATTTAGATCAAAATTGCTAAAGCAATGTAAGCATACCCACAGGCAAACAAAATACAGTTGAAAACTTATTTTTAGAGTTTTGTCAGAAGATGTAATTACATTTCTCAATTTTGGTCCACATTTTGAGGTCATAGCAAAGTTAGGTGGCAAATTATTAGCTGTTCTAAAAATGAGATTTCACAGTTATATTCACTGGTGATATGATTCTTTGAAAGTACCATATACACTGATGAATATTTGGATGAATGAGCAAAACAATCAATTTTGTAGTAAATTATGTGTTTTGGAAAAAGTAAATTTTTATTAAATTATTAGAAAATAAGGTTATTACTATGATCTGATTGTTGTAAGTCACTATATATTTCTTAAAATGTTCATTTCACCGATTTCTTTCACATGATTGAAGACAATATAATCCTGAATGTATAATGCTGACTGTATTTTGGGCTGCAATTTTATCCTCATGTGCTTTTGTTATATTTATTCTTTTAAGTGATCTGTGAAATGTTTTCTCTATGTTTAACAATAACGGTTGGAATACACAGCAAAATAAAAACAGTCTGGCAAATATATAATTTCCATTTCTTTTCCTCGAAACATCAGAAGCATGGAGCTTGTTACATATCTTTCTATTCTTTATGAAATGTTTTGATAATAAACTGTTAAGCAGTTAAAGAGCATTTTCTTACTTACATTGATATCTTCCAAATCTAAGCTATTCAGAACAAAATTGTTCCTCTTCCAGAGGATGGGAGGTCTCAGAGTTCCCTGGATGGCACAGCTTAAGACCACACTTTGTCCCACTGTTGCTGCAGTTGTGCTTAGTTTTTGATCTTCAGGCAGACTCAGCTGAACTACTTCTGCAAAAGAGATATTGTTTGTAAGATTAATTAGCAGACAGTTTCAGAAGGTTAATTAGCATGCAGGTTTTGTACACGGGTAATTTAAGGATTTTAATTGGAATCAAAGTATAAAGAACTTCGAAGAACCACAGGAAGTTCAGAGTATTTCAAATAAAGGTCAGCATGACATTTCGATTAAATTGACTGACAAGTATCACCCTGTATGAAAAGAAGCATTTAATACGAAAATGAATTTCAGAGGTAAGACTGTTATACATGACAGTTTATCCAAAGTCTGACTCCACAAGTTATTTGACAGTTAAGGCCAATGCAGCAGAGCAGTCAGCACATTCACCTGAACTAAAAGGGCTGCACAGCAGCCTTCCCGTATCTGAAGGGGGCCTATAAGGATGCTGGGGAGGGACTCTTCATTAGGGACTCTAGTGGTAGGGCAAGGGGGAATGGCTTCAAATTTTAACAGTGGAAGCTTAGGTTAGATATAAGGAAGAAGTTCTTCACAGTGAGGATGGTGAGGCACTGGAATGGGATGCCCAAGGAAGTTGTGAATGCTCCAGCCCTGGAGGTGTTCAAGGCCAGGCTGGACAGAGCCTTGGGTGACACAGTTTAGTGTGTGGTGTCCCTGCTCATGGCAGGGGGGTTGGAACTAGATGATCTTAAGGTCCTTTCCAACCCTAACTATTCTATGATTCTATTACCAAATCACACATTCATAGGAGCTCATTCTCAAAAAAGAAAAACTGAGTTCAGAGTACAAAATATACAGGACTGAGAATAAAATGGACAACAAAGTGAATGCTGCATTCAGAATATAAAATGAAGGTATAAGACTTCTCTTATAGTAAACCAGGTTTTATGAGTCTTTTCTTGGAATTAGCGAAAACATAGTTTCCAGGTCAAACCAACATTAGTAATGTCTTCCATTTCAGTCTCAAAAGAATATGCATTAATCATAGCACAAACACATTAATGTCATTTTCAAAAACAGCATTAAAATAATTTCTACTCCATTTCAAACATGATTCCTTTTACAACTGCAGAAATTCAGAGCCAGAAAAATAAAATTGTGTACTCAAATAAATATCCTTAAGTACAAAAAAAAAAGGGTTAAATACAAACCTGAAGTAAATGCCATGCATCACTTGAAATATTGTGAATTATCTTAACCCACAAATATTTGACAAGTATTTTTTGCATTTACTGTGCAACACAGTATAAATTGCTAGTGTTGATAAGCTATTTCATAAGGCTTGAAAAACAACTTTTATTTTATTATTACCTAAATAAATCAGAAAAGAGTGTGTTTCTGTTTTCTTAGTTTGCCCAATACTTAGTAATTAAACTGTGAAAGGCATGGAAATGGAGTTTTTAAAGCTGACATTTTGCAAAAACATCGTAAAAAGCAATAGAGATAAATCAATAATGGAACCTTACTTTAACGTTATTTTTTGAAGAGTCATATATCTTGGGTCGTCATTCTTCATACAAGTTAAGCTATGGTGATACTCTTGTAAGCTAACATATAAATTTATATCACTGTATTCTTAAAACATAGCAGGAGGAGTAGGGTAGTGCCAGGGAAAAAAGACAGTTACAGCTGTGCAGTGCTTTGATCAACCTTTCTGTTTTCTTAATCCTAAATACTGTGAGTTGATGTGCATAACATGTAAAATTCTGATGCTTTAAACTGAGCACATTTTATAAAAAGAGCTGTTACATTTGGATTTATTTTAGTTTTCTGAAGCAGTTAAAGAAGGGGTAGTAAAAGTTGGGCTATTTTAGTTCTCTCCCTATACATGAAAAAAATCTTATTGCCCACTCCTTTGATGACCCAAAACAGTCTGTAGGGAACTGCATGCAATCATAAAACTCTTTTGTATCTTAGAATACCAAATCAGGCTACTAGGAGGAGAAACACTGAAGCATATGAAATTTCTGGAGATTAAGTGGTTCCTTACTATGTCTTATAATCAGTAAAGACGCAATATCACTCCAAATAAAAGTTTTTGAAAGCTAAAAGGTATGATAAAATATTATACTGGGACTTTGTATATCACTGCTTCAGTTAACTTAATTCCATCAATAAATGTACAATTTGAACCTTCTCACATAAGTTGTGTGCATGCACAGCAGCCACAAAACACTCTTATGAATCTAAACTAACAAACATTATGCAGACTGGTACCCGCTATCTAAAGTTAAGACCACATCAAACCTGTATTCATTTTGTTTGCCTATTTCAAACCTAATTTAAAATGAATCACCTCTTAAAACAAAGCAAAGAAGCCTTTTGTCCATGGACAGACTAAGGTCTGTACTTAATGGATAGCAGTAGTTGGTGGCTTGAAATAGCTGAAATGCAGCTAGGTAATGTACCTTTTCCTCTTCAGGCATTGACTGATCAGTATGAGAAGTAACAGAACATTTTTCATGAGTGGCTCTTCTTTAGGGTCTTATGCCTGCAGCTGTTCTCTAGGGTCTTATACCAGCAAAGGGGTCTTTCTGTTTTCATGATCCATTTAACAGCATGCAGAAGGAAAAAAAAAAAAAAGTCTAAACTTTTTCACGACTCCTTGAGGTTTTAGCTGCAGATCTTGGATTAAAATTCAGGTCTTATTTCCAGCCTTATGACCAGCACAGCAGAAGATTCTACTTTCATTTTATGGCAGCATGGTTGTCATTCAAAACCAAAAGCTCTTAACAGACTTACAATTAAAATTAACATTTATTCATCTTTCATCTTTGCTGACAAGAGACTTGAAAATCATTTTTGTTGACAATTATAATACTGTAATATAGGAAAAAAAAGGTTCTTAGGAAGTCCTATACAAAACAATCCCATAAAGAAAATTAACAGAAACCATAAAGGAAAGCACAGTCCTGCACTGATTTCTAATATTAGTCAATGAGATTTAATGGAGAGTGCTTCGTAGGTCATGCTAGGAAACATGTCACAGAAGAACTTAAAAGCTTCTCTGAAAGACAAATGTGAAGAAAACGCCTTACACTTTCTATTTCCTCTTATGACTATTGAATGCAGTATTCTTTATTCAAACACCTAGAAACATTACAAATGCTTCAGGTTTTAAAAATCAGGATGAAGTAGAATATGTCAGTTGACCTCTTGCTTTGGTGAATTTAGCATCAAATTATTTTATTACTGAAGCTGCTTTCAACTTCTGGTTTTGTAAGGACCTAAAATGACCACATTTCTTTTCAAATTTCTTAAAAAAAAAAAAAAATCAGCTGAATTAAATAAAATGACTAAATAAAATACAGACGGTTCTATCTTACGAAAGTTTATAAATGTATGCACTTATAAAGTCTTTACCACTATAGCAAAGTCTGTATTTTTTAATGGTTATTTCAAGTACTAAGAATGAATGTAGACTGTGAGAAGCATCCCAAGAACTTTCTGAGATTGAGAACCCAAACAATAAAATAGGAGATAAATTCAATGGCTGAAAAAATATTATAATACAGAAAGAGCAATCCTTTGAATCTAGATCAATGGGCTGTAAGTTGACTTGGCAGGAGAGAGATGGTGAGTAATGATATGTAGTTATATCAACTCTGTCCTCTTTAGCAGAGAAAAATTCAAATCTTAAGAAAGGAACTAAAAGCAAACAAAACCCCCATAATTTTGCCTCCTGGTTTGTCCACACGAGTACCACATGCGGCTGTGGGTCCTCTTCAAAGTAGATAAAAACTCAGACGCACAACAAGCATGGTAAGGGTATAGAGCAGTTTAAATATGAAAAACTATCAAAAAGACTTAGAGTTTTCTTTTACATGTAGGGAGCTTTGAGAGCAGTCTACAAAATCATGGCTCTCATGGAAGCTGGAAAAGGTATCGAAGGCTTATTGTTTCTTCTAAGACTGGACACGCATCAAAATAAGCAAGTGTGAGGCTAGGTTCAAAATGAAGGACAGTAGTTTTCATGCTTACAGTGATAGATCTGAATTTGTTAAAGGATATTGTGGATCCCAGCAGCTTACATGTGCAGGATGAGATCTCACAAACACATGTAAAAGTATAAGATTATTCTTACACTTCTGTGAAAGTATTGGACCTGGGACCAGTACAGCCACGTCTTAAGGCATCCTTTATTTTACGTGGAATTCACCCAGCAAATGTGACTTCTAGGTTTTCTTTACAGTGTTTACATGCTCCAGCTTCATGTGAAACAAAGTTTAAGGTACTTTCACAGTTTTAATGAGAAAAAAGAAACAAAAAACAAACCCAAACCAAACCCAAACAATTTAACTGTAAAGCAGCTGAGTTGATAAACAGTATGTACTACTTCCTGAAAATCATTTTACTCAGTAGGTGAACTGACCCTTCTGATATTTTTCACTGATTTGAATAGAATTATCTCTGAATGGCAAAGAACCTTTTCTACATTGCTTGCATATTACAAATGCTCGTTTTAACTATTCTTTTTATCAATGTGAATGATGGCATGAAATTATTTTCACTTGCTGTGTACATTGAATCAAACTCCTCCTCAAGACCTTGTGTTTCTCACAAATCTGCACTCAACAGGACTCAAGTTTTAAATGAGAGCAACATGGACTATAATGATTGACTTAAGCCATTACAAAAATCAATAAAACACATACTTTCATTTGCTCTGCAGGGCATTGGGATAATTTAAAAAAAGTTTAGAAGCACTCTTCATGGAATATGAGGAGCTATTGACTCTTTATGACTCCCCTTGTCATCGTTTACAGAAACACAAAATATTTCTATGCAGCTGTGGGCTGCACCTCATTTAATACACTGCACAAGATCAAGAATTGCCAGAAGTGCAGTACTAGCAGCATTGACTGACAACCCAAATATATTCATCAGGTTTCTCAGGTGACAACCCTATCAAGGTTACTTTGTATCAATCAACACCTGAACCATCAGAGAGTTAGATAATTGCTTTCTGGACAGGAAATACATAAAATAATAAACTTGCAAAGATACACCATTCAAATCCAGCTAAAGCCAC